GTGGTGGCCACGGTGTACCAAGCCTAGGTTCTGATGAGGCAAGTGGATGAGGTGGGTTAGCCTGAAACACTGCCACTAATGCTTGGCTGCATTACTTAAAAGGGATTCTAGTTCAAGTTTACAGTGCCATGGACGTTGTCATCAAGATTTTTATGTGACTTAAGGGACAGTATCTTCCTGTTTAGCAAAACCTCATTAGTTTGCTGTGGTTGCTCTTTCTGTACTTTGTAAATATTTTACTGATCTCTCTCCTTCACCTAGAGAAACTGAACATATTGCAGCAGTTGGGCAGTCAAGGACAGCCTGATGGTGCTTACAAAGGGAACAGCAAGGGATCTGGGTGGTGACTACAGAATGACACCATGGCAACAATTGTGTCTAACAGGGCACCCCCTAACTCGGGTCAAGGGTTTGTATGTACCCTTTTCACCTGCCACGTGCCTGTGCCACACTAGTTACCACCTCACATTTAACTTTGCCACCTTTTTGACTCTGGAACACTGTCAGTATCCTCAGCCCTGCAGCCTACAGACAGGGAGTGCTCAGGGGCACCTCTGTGCTACAGCATGCTATGGAAAGTGGTGACTCAGCTGAGCATTCCTTACTGTCTTCTTCCAATTTGGTCCTGGATCAAAGCCTTAGGTTAAGGTTCCTGCTGAAGGTGCTGCCAAAGATCTCTTCTAGTGGCTTATTAATCAGCATGCTGCTGCTGCACGTTTGGCAGGCCATCCATGCACGGTCTGGGCCACTGTGTTACACACCTCTAGCATGGATGAGGTCAGAGTTTCACGTGCTGCACTCAGAGAGTGCAGAGAGGCCAGTTCCTATTGACCTGTATCATCACTTGGGTGTTACCAAAGTATGATCAAAGCAATCCTCTTTATAAATGGAATCAGAAAATCAGCAGTACAGGTAGAATTCTGCCAAAAAAGGAATAGATAGCAGACTAATTCAATGTATGATGTTTTTTTTGAAACTCAGGATTTCCACGCCAGTGCTAATAAAAAGGCTGAAATGCCCTGCTATGTTCTCTGTGTATGTATACAGACAGAAAGAACTGACACACACCTTAATATAATACTATGCAAAAAAACCCAACCCCAAACCCACAAACAAATAGGACATTACAGAAGACTTCTTAAACAAAGTTTTATTTATAAAATTTCATCTACTCACATAAGAAAATGAAGTGGTAGCAAACACAGAGTAGTGTTTGTGTACTGCAGAACCTGTACCTCATAGGGAACTTCTCTGACTCCCTGGACAAGTGATTTTTCACTGCCACAATGCTGTTCGTACAGTGAAGAGCCTTCCCCTCTCTCTGTAAGAGGCACTTCATCACGATCCTGTCCGTTCAAGCGAGAGTCTGCAGCAGCAGGATTTTCTCATTAATGCAGAACCTATGCAAGACCACCATGAGATTTTCCCCACAGCGCGAGACCTGGCGCTCCATGGCCAGGCGGAAATCTTCTTTCACTCCTTTAGTTATACCGCGGGTAACTGTGTGATGCCTTAAGCCATAAAGGAGAGAAAGACAGACAAAAATCAAGTGATGGTTATTTGGTGTATTACAGTAATTTAAAGGGTGCTGCATGTCACTTACTATGTATCTACTGCCCATACCTGAGTTTATATATGGAGACCCAAATAGCCTGTGCTATGCTATTTCATAAGAAAACATGTGTTTAATAAGTTGCAAGTCTTTCAGTAGTTACAAGTTCCATAACAGTCTGTACTCTCACTACTTTGATAATGATTTTTGGGGCGGGGGGGGGAATGTTGCTGTTCTGGCTAACAGGAAAATCCAGTGTCTTAACCCAGTTACGTACGGTGTGTTCTTGCTTGGGGAAAGGTTGTGGGTTATTTATCTGCTACCTTTGCTGCCCAGGCCACTTGTAATCACTTCTATAAATGGTTGGGCTTGAAAGAAGAGTGAAAAGATGAACCTACTTTCTGTGGAAGAAGGGAACAGGTGGCAACCACCATGAAGAGCAGAGGGTATCTAGTACCAACAGGAATGTGCAGGAAGGAGCTATGTTATCCTGAGGGCACTGGTAACTCTGACTAATGAAAGGTGCTGTGAATGCTTCACAGGCCAACAAAAAAGCTTAAATCAAGCCAGGCTGTGAGTCTCTGTCAGTAGAAGCCAGCTCTTGTGGAGATGAGACACCAGCCAGGGACTATGTGTATTCTGAGCAGAAGTTCAGAACTTGTTCTCAAGCAGAAGAAAGGCCCAGCTACTGAGCAAGCTAAAGTGATGCTGGCTGGGGAAACTTGGGATTATTGCCCTGCTAGATGCTGTTCTTATCAACAGTTCTTTGTCCTCACCCTGGCTTGTAGCACTCAATCCTCTCTCCTGCCCTTAAAACAATGTTCTGCAGCGCCAAAGCACTACAATTCACCTGCACTGTGCAGAACGTTGTAACATCTACCTGCAAGCCATACTTGGGAAGGGAAGCAAAAGATATGCCCTGAACTAAAAACCTAGTGCTACTAGAGGAACAGCATAAATCAGAGAGAAATGCATAATGCTGATGTTGAGACAAGTCCTGAATCATGGCTAAGAAGAGAAGAGCTGGACTAAACCGAGCAAGCCCACAGAAAGAAAGGAAAGATAAACTTAAGGGTGAGGGCAGCCATGCCAAGCCAGAGATACTGGAAACAAGAAAAGTCTGGGAATTGCCCCCGCCAGCACCACCACCCCTACCTTTATTTAAATCAGCACATCCAGCATTTGAGAAGAGACTTCCCTGCCAAAACAGTAGTGACCTCTGTAACGTGGAGAACGCAAAGAAGAGGCTAGCCTGGAGCATAGTGGGCAATTCATTGATGAGCTAGCCTGAGGGAAGCAAAACTGCACTGAAAATACTCCAGCCTATTCAGAGGTTACGGGGTAAGCCCTGTTTTCCATCTTTATTTGTCTTAAAACATTGCTGGCAGCCCAGTGTTATGGTCAGTTACAGCCTAAAGGAGAATATCCAACCTACAGCTACTGAGCAAGCCAGCAGCAGTTTGGAAGATGTGTGTCATGTAACAGCTGAAAAACAGAGTTCAGAACAACTTAAATGAATAAAAGTAGCTATGACTGGATCCAGTAACCAGTATCTTGGAAAGAAAGGGTTATACTCTTGCTAACACGTGACTGAACATTGGTACCATGTTGGAGGATTTCTACGTTTGTGTTTAAATTCAACAGTGATTATTAGATTGAAAGGACACAGATACTGGCAACTTATGGGAAAAAGAAAAATAAATGTTATCATAGAACAACATGGCTTGCCAGGCAATGTAGGTACAAATGGAGAAAAAAATAAAAGATAAATATTGAGTAACAAATTGCTGAAAACCATGGGCAGTAAAACATGTTGACAAAACACAGCACATTATGAGTGGGGTTTTTCCACTTGGTACCTGTCAGCAGTCTGTATGCTGGGCTGTAGCACAGGTATGAATTCCTGCTGCAGTAACCCCATGGGAGGGCTAGAAGTCCTTTAAGAAACAGCAAACAGCAGCATTCAAACACCCACACACCAACTCCCCCTCCAGTGCACAACAACTCTCCAGAAAAAGGGGCAACAAAGAACTGGGGTGAAACCACACAGCAGTGACCACCAGGCAGCTGACAGGGTGTAGGACCCTAACAGCACCAAGCATGCAAGTACCCCCAGATTTCATTGCAAGGCTGTTCTGCAGCTGCAGTCTAAGCATATACCCATACTTTTGAACAGTTACACTGGGAGAAAGGACAGTGGTGGTGCAAAACCAATTCACAGTTGTACACTGATGAACTGTGCCAGCTTTTCCCAGGAAGCATGTCAGTCAGAGAAGATTTAATCCGAGGAGCACTGCCGATACCACAGCTTCCCTGCAGAGCTGGCAAGAGCATGTCAGTGAACAAGGAGAGCCCACAGCTTGGAGTGAAGGGATCTGCTGCTGAGCCCAAGCCAAGTGAATGCACAGCAGGTATGGGCCAAGTTGAGTACATGACAGTGTGTGTTGCCTAAGTTTCTTTTCATTAGCCTACAGATGGCCTTTTTCACCTTTTCTAATTCAAACTACATACAAAACTGGCTGTTAGAGGATGGCACAATGTCAGAGCACAAACACCTACTCGAACCACCTCCCATTTATGGCCAGGACCACAGGAACTAGCCACCAAAAGGTGTCTCAGCTGAAAGTTTGTCTTGCATGTTCAAGGACTGAATTTCACAGTTCAGTCCTTGTCTCTGTGTGCTGTGTGTAACAAGAAAATAACTTATGTCCAGTGCCCCAATGAAGGAGAAACAGAAAATTTATTGTATACGGAACCTAAATCTTGCCAGGCACCCCTACAAATGCTAAGAAGGGAGCAGAAAAGCAGGACTTGCACTTACATGCCTATAATACCGAGTTACGGGCCTACTGTCCAATCTCACAGGTGGGCATTTGGGTTACTATCTGTAATTTACTGACATATACAGATGGAGAGCTATGCTTATAAATGTCAAGTAAAGACAGGACATTTTTGTAGTACAGAAACAGTCTATAATAATCTGAAATAAAATATTCACAAGAATTATTCAATCAAATGAGATATTTTTTTCATGAGTTCTTGGCATGAATGAGCCCAGGGCTTGCAAAAATGGGTATGGGGAACAGAAAATACAAAGAAACAGCAGGATGTTATTAGTCCCAGAGTGGCAGGTGTTTGCAAAAGGGATTCTGCACAACTGTCATCATTCCTGTTTGCAAGGTCTGCAGTTAGAACCAAGCATACCCAAGTACCCTGTCAGAATAAAAAGTACACTTTCAACATACTTTGTTTCCTTTCAAACCCACTGAGCTTTTCCTCTGCTGTCCCCAAGGGGGAGATGTGGTAGGCAAGCGAGTAGAGGCAGAACACTCAGCTTTCACATCACGTAGTTCACTAGGCTAAGATTAGACTAATCAGAGTAAGATTTAATAAAAAGAGGAGCGCAATATTAATCACTCATTGCGTGCATGTTGTTGTTCTCCTCTTTCACATCACTAGCTAACACTGCCACCACAGACACGGCAGAAATATGAAACTTGGCTTGTCTAGAATGGAGTTCCAAAGCACTCTGGCTGAATTCAGAGCTCACCATCGAGACTCGCTGATGCTGCAAACAGAACGAACTGGCTGTGTCATAAGGATAAAACCAAAACCATGGACCTTCATATTCTTACAGCGGATACAAGCAAAGGGAGCTTTTACAAGCTGCATATATATTTTGCAGGACTTGTTTGCAAGTCTGCAGGTTACAAATATCTTACTTCAGCTTTTGAAAACCACCTTGCAGTTTGCCCTCCTGGGTTTGGAAAAATGTATATAATTTCCTATAAAGTGTAAGTACTGAGGAAAAGTACTGGAAGAAGAATGTGAAATTCACCTGGGGAGAAAATGTCCTATAAGTCATAAAACAAGAAGCTATCCTTATAAAAAACATATAATAGCTGTAATACATTTTCCATCAATGAAAATGCAGGATTGCCATGTACAGTCATGCTGAGGAAAGATTAGGCAAAGGAATAACTGCTTTGTCTTTGCACTGCTGTGGCAAACTTCAGACTGAGTCTTCCTGTTTGTGACTGCACAGTATCTGAGCTGCCTCTGCTCATTATTGGGAGGTTGGTGCAGCAGCTCATACAACCAGAACCAGTGATAGTTTTGAAACATCAGATTTTGAGCCTACTAACCACTGTTCCAAGAAACAGCTGTGCCAGCACACTTACCTAAAATCGTAGTGTGGGGAGGCCTCAGTGCTCCTGAGGCCAATACCTCTGGGTGACACCATCCTGAGCCTCACAGCCACCCAGCTAAAAATCTGCCTGGGGTACTAGGGGAGTAGATGGCATCTCCAAGTAGAGGCCTGCACCCCACACTCTCCCTCCCATCAGCTCTCTGATGAAGTGGTTCCTGTCCTACACATCTCAGCTGCATAAAAGACACTGTACACGGCTTTTCTGGCTGGATGCTATATTTAACCATTTCGGTTCGAAAAGCAATGGAAGTGGACTTCTCAAGCATTTCCCTAATTCAGGAAACAACACTGGTCAAAAAGAGGTCAAAGAGAGATTTGTATCTTGCTAGAGATGCTGCTCACTACATACTTCCTGACTGGTGGGGTCACAACTATAAGTAAGAGCTACCACACCAATCAAAATAAAAGCCATGACTCAAAGAAATAGCACTGAATTATTGCAACTAACTTGAGATAGCAGCTAAGAAGTTACCAGACATAGTCGTGGGTGCTAAGCCCTCTTGCTGACAAAGCTTATTAACATCTTACGTAGTACAGCATATCCTGATTCTTGTTTTCATGCAGCTGGTTATAAGCAATGAGGATAAGAGACTGAAAATCTAGAGCCTAGAACAGAAAATTCTCTGTCACATAAATAAGCATCTGTATTTCTTCTTATCTTTTTCTCTTCTTTAATTACATCTAATATCCCATTTCTCTGTTGGTTACCTAGAACTCTGGAAAATCTATCTACTAGTCTAAATTTGGATCCAGTTGTCTCATGTTAGGATCCCATGTTTTGTAAAACTTTAGCCCATTTCTAGTTAGTGAATAGCCAGAATACTATACCCAAACTGGAATTTCAACAGACTTAGCACCCCCCCTCTTATAAAGCAAAATACCACAAGTTCTCATAAATAACCAGGATGTTCCAAAATATTCTGCCACTAAAACCCTGCAGCAGACTTGTTCAGTCTTGACTCAAAACTAAGAACACCTAGAAAGTTAATCCAAATTATTAATTTCTTCAGCATCTCCTAAGAAGCTAAGCCAAGTAAGCTTTTTCAGTACATAGCAAGAGATGACCTGCTAGTTCTGACACAGAGGTTAGTAGAGTTTACCTGAAGTGTAATTTAAATTATGCTTTATACCTAAGTTTTCAATCATTGTGGTCTTTTAGAACTTTGTTTACAACAAACAGTGCCTTCTGGTTAGAATTACCCTTCAGCACAATTAGCAACAACACCTTGCACTCAGACCTGACTGTTTAAAGGATTCCTGCAAAGTACAAGTGTCTGATTGAAAGAATATCAATTGATTCTAAAGCAAATGCCATACTTGGAAATAAAATTATGTAAAAGTAGGAGTTTAAAGTTGAAGACCAAAAAAAAAAAACAAAAACAACCCACCAAAACCTCACAAGTCAGCAACAGTCAGAAAAAGCTCACTGCCTTGTCTGAATTCATTACGCAATTCCTTTATTTTAAGCTCAAAGACATGACAAACTTACTATCCAGAAGATTACATGAAAACAAAGACAACCAAGAACCACCAAAAAAACAAGCAACAACCAATCCCATTTTTTCCACCCCAAAGAGAACAGTAAATGCTTCTTTATACTTACTTGATTAACATTGCTTGATTTGGTAACAGTTCCAGATGAATTTTCCCTCCTTCCTGTGTTCTTAAATAAGCGAATTCCTCCAACATATCAATATCTGAAGAAAATGTTAAGGATCTGAGTAGGGATAAAACAATAGAGAACACTCCTTCTCTCTCACACCTGAAGCCACACTGCTGAAAGGACAGTCAAATGAACAGCTACTGAAGTATCTTGTTCTTAAAAATGATAAAGAAGATCAAAGCATGTACTCCTAATCATCCACAAATTCATGAGAAATGGCTTTTAAAAGAGCAAAACACATACATCAGTCAATTTCTTTTCTTTCTTCATTTCTTTATATGTAGTCAGACACAGGTAATCAAATCTCTCTCCAAACAAATTCCCTGGTTGTTTTTACTTACTTTGCCTGCATTGCAGGTTATCAAAGCAGTGCAAACTCAAGCTGGGACTGAAGGAAATGCAGCCACAGTGGCACATTTTATATATACCCTTTTTTAGTTTTCTGTTTTGGTCCCTTTATACAGGTTTTCTTCTTTTTTTTTCCCTTAACACCAGAGGGGTTTTTAGTTGTATCAGATAGGAGTTAGACCCCTTGCTTCCTAAGGACCATGGCTGCATGTCTATTAAGGCTAAACATTAAACTGTCCATGTGTGCATGCTGATCCAAGCATACATCAGATACCTGAGTACAGAAATGAGACATGCTTTGCATTAACTTTGACATAGCTCATTATCTTACCCATGCAAAGCATTTCATGAACGACAGTCAAAATCATTCAACTCGTTGAAGCATAGGTACCACTTTATCGTTTCCAATAACAACTTTGTAGTACAATACCCTATAGATTGTACTGAAAAGACTGCCTGAGCTGCTGCTGTTTTTCTGAATAGAACTGCAATTGCAATGTACTTAAGGGAACCCTCAGGTGCCAGAACAGGTGACACATTTACAGTCCCTTGTGCACTACTACCTGTTACAAGAGGCTTACATGGTATGGAAATGAACACAGAGTATGACTGAGGGACAGAACTGCTGCTGAAACTATCTAATAGCTTTTCCAACACCCCAGCACATAGTTTTGGATGTGAAAGACATTCTTGGTTGAAGAAAGGATACTCGTGACATAGTTGAAAAAATTCTCATACTGGAAGTTTCCTTGTTGGCAGATTTTGTTGATGGCTTTCAGGAACAAGTTCTCACCCCTTGGCCACTCATGCTGAAGCAGAACAACTACATGGCCCAGTGCCATATCATCTCTGCTGTCTGTGAAAGCTCTGAGCTTCAGGGGAAAAAGGGGCATAGAGACAATCAGGAAACACGTTACTTTTAGAAACGTACAGGATTCATCTCACCTACATCTGTGCAAATACACAAGAAGTTGTCTAGCACCGCTATTTCATTCTGCCTTAATATACACATTTAAAGTACGTTGGACATTTCCAGCCTATTTCCAGGCAGAGAATACCATACTCTCTCCACTGACCTATAAAAGGAAGTCTGAATACAGACAAAAGTATCTTGAGCTTAATTCTACCTCCCTGCCCAAAACTAAAGCAAATATAAGAGGAAAAAAAAAAAAGAGAACAAACCCCTCCTTCATCAACAGTCTCCCCCTGCAAAAAAAAAAAAAAAAAAAAAAAAAGAGCCTCCACAAACTTATATAGGTGAGAAGCACTGGAAGCACAGCCCTTCACACCTCATCACACCACCCTGGTAAGGCCATGCAGTTTCCAGACTCCAGATATATCAACTAGGTCTTAGAGACAGCATAGAATTCAAAGCCTTATAGCTTACCTTGAAACAAGCTAGCAATAGGTGAAGGCAGTAAGGCATGATCGCTTTACTGGTACATGGCCAAAGCTTCAAATCAGACCCTGCAACAGAACAGTTTATCATACACTTCTTTAGCAGTCTCATGATGATTTAAGTTTGAAAGAACTTAGAACTGAGGAAAAGAAATCTACAATTGCCAAATCTCAGGCATGGAGAAAAACCTTACAAGTATATTATGAATTATTCAAAACATGAAGCTACACATTTTAAAATCTTTTCTTCATTTCTCTTTTCCTGTGGTAGGAATTTGCCACCAATATACTTTAATAGGTACCCACAGGAAAACCACTCACAAAATCAAGAGGGATAAAGAACTTCCTCTCTTCTTGTGATTCAGAAGGAGAAGAACTATATACTCAATGAAAATGCATGAACTAAAACTGAACTGACACTAAGTTTAGGTTAGTAGCAATGTCATACCTTTCCTGAATTTAGACTTCACTTTAGGTTGCTCCTCTTGTACTCTACCTCCTTCTTGTATTGGAAGTGAAATACAGCACATGAGGTCAAGCACTTTTTCACAGGTTTGCTATAAAAAGAACAAGAGGGACATGATAATGCTACGTCTAACTGAAGTTCTTCAAATTCATGATTAAAAATTTCAGATATGCGAAATTAAAAAACCACAAAATATTCTGCTAGAACTTGAGTGGACTTAATGCATAACTTGGTTTTGCTGAGCAGAAAGATGTAGCGCTCATTAAACAATCTCTAAGAGCTTACCCAAGTCATTTGAATTGTGAACAAAATATGTATTGGCATTCTTCATTCCAGGAGTTTAAGATCAGTACAACTGCAGTAAGAAACTATTTTACTTTGAAGGTTTACGTTTTCAAATGAATTCTTAGAATAGCTTTTAAAAGCTTGTTCTGTTTGTAGTAAAAATAGAAAGGAAAATGGCAATCTGACAGCATGACAGAAATGCAATGAATTTTTAATGCTATTTCCTACAGACACTAAGAGGCCTGTGGGAATATTATCACATTTCCAGTAAACGTAGTAAACCGGAAGGACAGAAAGACTTTCACAGTAGTACTAGCATGACACTAGATCCTAAGAGACACAGCCTTTATTATAAGTGCTGACACTGACTGACCTGAAGCCACCATGCATTTCTGTAATATTAGAACCACGAAGTATGTATTGCAAAGGTAAAGCAAGTTCAGAGGTCAGCCCAGACAATACTGTTCTAGAGTCTCTTACACTGTCAGATGATAACTAATTCCTAAGATGTTCACAGTATTTTCTTTTCTACAAACCTTTTCTTTCCCCTGCCACATGAAGCCTACACCTAAAAATTTTCCCCTCAGTATTTGACACTGTTTCAGTAAAGTTAAGAACTTCAAATTTAAGGTTATTTTTATGGACAACTGAAACACTTGCAGATACGGAAAATCGTAACTAAAACCCAAAAATCATAACTACCAGACTATCTATGAGAGATGCTACTGGACAGTTAATGTGCCAGGAAGTGCAATTCTTCTCCTTAAGAGGCATGGATTTTTCACTATGTTTGATACCCTGTTGAAAGCAAGCTAATGGGAAATTTCAAAGGAAGAAGACAAACGGGAATCACAGGGCCAGATGATGAAGTACCAGTGTATGGGATGCTGTACATACCCGGTATTCTCCAAGGGCAAAATGGCATGTTGCTAACTGGATTAGTGCTCTCTGATTTTCTAGTGATCCTTGACCTGTAATTTGCTGTGGAGAATGAGAGCCCTGAAGAGCTGCTAAGTGATGTAGGCTGCTAATTGCTTTCTTGTACTGCCCCTTTAGAAAGAAGATACAAAAGGACAGTGTTAGGATCTTCTGTATACACTGGATGGAAAGACAGAAATAAAATTTCCCTTATAGAAAGCTTCCAAAACATAGTGTGTCCAAATAACGGGCTTCAGAATTTTGATCTAGAACACTCTCCAGTGATGGGTGCAGATTGATTGCTTGCAAGGCAGTGAGAGGACAAACAGAATTCTGTTTTAAAAAGCCTGCTTAGAAATCACATTTGTAACTGAAACAAATAATTGTGCTCTTCAGGGTTAATCATTATTTAGAGGAATAAAGCTTAAAATAGCTCCTGTTCAAGTACAAGTATAGGCAAAATAAAAGACCCCCAAAGGAAAAAACATAAAAACCCCAGCTTTGTTCTATAGAAGGTATCTGGAATGAGCACAATCACCCTGATTTCTGAGGAAACTGACAAATTTTAACTGAGACATGTTAAAATTTTCTGCTGCTTGAAAATTTTTCTCTGACTGTGTTCCATACAATGTACGTCAGATGAATAAAATGCACTTTCCTTCGATAACATTATAGATACAACACTACATATATTTACTGGTCAAAATACCATCACAGAGATCTTTTCCATATGCCAAAAGTCAAAAAACAGCTATTGGGACAGGAATATCCTGAGCTGTGGTAAGAATGGTATGGTTCCATCCCCATAAGGGTCATGCTTTAAAGGATAAAATCAGCAGACACCTAAAGAAGTCAGCTGGCTAATCAGAACAGCTATTCACAAGAAGGAAGAGCAATGTAATGGTGTCATTTTTACTAGTTTCTACATTTTTTTTTTACCTGGTAGATGATCATGTCTGTAAGAAAGATTCTTAACCAAAGCCAGCTGTCTGTCTTCCATGCCAAACAAATTCTAGTGAACTCTGCATAAGGGGTCAGACAGGAAAAAATAGAAGAGAAAATGAAACATTTAATGGCTTTGGGTTAAAAATCACTTATCTAGAAGAAAAAAAATAGCTGAATTTAATAATTTAATAAAAAAAACCCACCAAACCAAAACCCTAACCAAACAAAAGAGTGTGAAATCTCTCATATATGAGATACTCTCTTCCTATACAATCATACTTTGATTTACAGTGTCCAAAAAATCCAAAAGCAGCTTGGTGGTACTATTTGCCTGCATTTTGTAAGAGAAACTTGCTCTCAGTATTATCACACCAGGTATTATGGCAAGGGAGAGACACACCAAAGACACATCTTCAGTATCAAGTAAAGCAGCTGCTAGCAGCACATCCTCACTGAGATAGCAGCACTACTATTAACCAACTGCTCTTGAAGTAATGGCTGCTTCCAAGAGAAGTGGGTGCAAATAAGCAAAGATGCATGAAAAACCTAACTAAATCTAGGAACAAAATATTCAGAAATGCAACAACTGATAAAGCTTCTTATTAGAACTTCAATTAAAAATACTCAGGACCCAAAGTAAATTCAATTTTAAGGATTCACAATGACAGGAATTACATTTTAACAACAGTAAAATTACGTCTATGCACAGCAATGAAGCCTAAATGCAACTCTGCCTCCAATTAGCTTTACCTTTGTCTAGTGATTCCAGTGAATAGAGCAGCTCCCAGCTCTCTCTTGCCAGTTTAAAGCTCTCTAATACTTCAATAGAGTTTGCAAGATCTGCCTTGTTTACTGTAATATGTCGACTTCGTGCCTTCCCAGAAGGATCCTCGTCATCTGAGCTCTGCTTAAGCATCAGTTTAAAACAGAGATTAATTTCTTAACTTACACTTATTTCAAAGGACTCTAAAGTCACAGAAGTTCCACTGAACACAAGAAAACAATTCTGTACTGGAGATGCCAAGGTCCTAGTTCAAGTGCTGTTATGTGACTTTTTGCTTAGCTTGTTTTAATATTACAACAATTGATTTTCTACCAAGAAACTCAGTGGTATAGTGTGATGAACAATATCCCAAAAGAATTCATTCTGTTAAATGCAGTGTACTTCCACTGAGTTTCAGACAGATTATCCGTTAGGAGTATGTACATACTTCATGCTTTATCACCTAGGTTAAGCCTAAAGAGGCATCATGCAAAGGAAATGTAATTCTTGTACTTCTGTGTACTTCCACCAGCAGAGAAATTCTGTAACTGTGGGTTTCTACTATTAAAGAAATAGATGTATTCACAGTTCCAATCATGAAAAGTCAATTGATTTGGAAGTTTAGCTGTAGAACACCTGACTGATATAGCTACCACTTCTAGCAACTTCTGCGTTTTCTGCTGAACTCCTTCAAGTTAAATCATTCACGTCAGCACACACATGTCTACAGCAACTGCTATAAAAATTATTTTATTCTTGCTGGCTTTAACCAAAACAATCTGTTTGAAAATTGTGGTTGTGAACAGGTACTCCAGGATAGCTCTAAAAACACATCTATTACATCTATATTAAAACAACTTTTGTCTCAATTCCAGTACCTGCACCATTCTCGTTATGAACAAAAAAGTCTGGAAAAGTTACCATTGTTTTTTCTCTTCCCTCAGCAAGTTTCCTTTTTTTGTGTATGTGTTTGTTACGATCAATATCTGTATCACCATAGATGTTGGTCACATCCTCAAGAAGAACCAGTGGGGTTTGGTTTGGAGCATTTGGACCTGGATTTAAAGATAAATTAATTCAAGATGGCTGTAAACTGATCTGAAAGATCTCATGCCTATATCAAGCTGGTTTTATTTCCTTCACAAATAATGACTGCAATGCTAGAGAAAACAATCTGAAATTGGTTCATTTAAGTTGCATAAGCTTAAACTATGCTTTTAAAGCTATGGTTTTCTCAAAGCAGCCTTACAGTAGAGGTCAGAATGCATTTCCCAGACACCACAAGAATTTGCTTGGGAGCTTCAAAATATCTTTGAATCTTTTTCTTTCCAACAGGCACAAGATATACTCAGGCAGAAGGTGTTCTCTTATCAAGCACTACTTGCTTTTATGTAAGGACAACAGAACAAATAGCTTTGAAGTTAACAGCCACAAACATGGCAAAGCACAGCCGTGGTCTCAAAACACTCACATGAGAAACCAAAGCAATATGCTGACAGGCACTGATGCCTCAAAGAAGTGAGTGTATTTTATCACAAGATTTCCCTGTGTATCGTTCAGTGTCAGCTTTGTCCCCACTAATTTCAGTGTTCAGAATTAAACCTTCAGTTGACTGCCAGAGCCCATCAAAGCCTCTAGAAAAGTCTCATTTCAAAGCACAAAAGGCTTAATTTCTACTTCCACTGGTATCACAGAACATCCAGTGGGATCTGGTACCTGTAATTTCAGATCTTGGTGCTTACGTTCATTAGATATAAAATAGTGACAACACTTCTTAATCTCAAACAACATGGGTACATGGCCACTATTGAGAGGGCTTTCCTTCTGAAAACATTTTCTGCTTTTGCATAATGAAGTTCTATATATGTGTGCAAAGCTCAGACAAAGAGAAATATAAAGGAAAAGGGAAATCCATTAATCTGTTTTCCCTTTTTGAAATTTCCACTGGACAAGACAGTACTGCAGACAAGTATTTTCAGTATATGCATTTCTTTTATTTGTAGAAAGATAATGAGGCCAAGGCCTCATGCATAACTGCAAAAAAAAAATATTTCAGAGCTTAGTATAAGAGCAATTCGTTTCATCACTTGACAGAAAAGAACCTATATTAAAGTTTTTCCATCTACCCAAAAGTAATGTGTAAGAAGCCCATTACAACAGAATTTTTTTACAAGAAATCACCAACCTGGCATGCTTAGAAAATAATATTCTCTCTTATGACTTGTTTCAACTAGATACCACCAGTGAAATGTCCCTTACACAAAGGCTACAACACATTTAAATCACCTCTCCTGTACCACCATGTATTCTGCTGTGTTGGACCCTAACCTGTGTAAACTGAAAACAGAGTCAAGTCATAATGTAGAAAACAGCATGCATGAGAACCACATATGAAAGTACCACAACTAGGATGCTGGAAGAGTTTTACCACTAGAATCTCAAGAGCTGCCTCTTGTAACTAACACCTGAGAAGAGTAAGTTTTTCTTTCACTCATACTAGTTTGAATGAATACTAACTGCACTGCTTTCCAAAGAAATACTTGTTTCTCAGTAGCAGTCAAGAGCATTGTAGCCTTTCTTTCAAAATCTTCAATCCTAAACCATAACCAAACCTAACCACAGCCTTGAATTGGGCTGCAAGCCTTCTCTTACATTACTAGAAGTTACACAGCCATACAAAGAGCAATGGTGTGTTTTTGTGTCTAACCAAGCTCTAGAATCTAAGCTTACAGAGTTTATAATTGATTTCTAGCACAGTGTTATAAATAACACCCTAGAAGCATCAGCCCAAACAGCGACTCCTGCCAAGCCTGCAGGCAGCATGAAAGTTATGAGAGGTGTGAATTGCTTCATTCATTTCTCAAGTCTCCAGCAAGGCAGACATGAATTATGCAAGAGTAAATGCACTGAAAAATTTTCTCTCCAGAGTTTTCTTTCCAAGTCCATGCACATGAAAAGAAGGTCATAGATCAAAGATCAGATCAGAATTAAGGGGGATACAGCTTTTTTCCCCCACCATTACACTTTCAAAATACATAGGATACTACATTCCCAAAGTGAGTCCTCCAAAGAAAGAGAGGAAAAGCCCTAATGATAGAAAGGATATGAGAGGCACTGAATACTACTGGACTTTAATGCTAAAGCAGAAATTAGAAGATGCCTTGGAAATATTTTCCTGATGTCAGAAAATCACAGAGGGTACCAGAAATGCTGCACTGAAGGGACTACACTCTGCTATCTCAGTATACATTCTCTTTTTAGCAGTTCAGTCTGAAAACATGAGCTTTAACCATACCCAGTTGTACAACTTACAAAGTAGCATCTTCACCAGTGCTTTACTTCCTTTCTTCCTCAAGTCAGAATCAAGCAGCTAAAACTATATGCACAGTTAAAAGTATGTCAGTGCCCCACCATAATTCTTCCTCTGGATAGAACAAAAAAAACAACTCAGTTCCTGTATTTGTTAAAGTGCCTGCATGTTCTTTGCATACAAGTTGCCATGTTATTTGTCTTCTGAGCTTAACTATCTTGACACCATTCAACTGATTACCCAACTTTACAGAAAGTTGTTTAAAACCCATCATTTGCACTGAGTGTTTAATTACTCAAATGATTATTTGCTCCACATAGGAAATAGTAATGAAACTTATGAACACAAGACAACACAATTTTATCATGAATCAGTAACTGCAGTGTTAATAAGTACTATTTATGGTGACAATTGCTACTGTTGCAAGGGATTCCCTAACAGTGAGTGAAGAAGCAGGAAATGCACACTATTAAGAGCTGGAAATTCCTCTTTGTGATGCTATTCCAGTAAGTTCTAAACAAACTGGAGGTTAAAGAACTTCCAGCTTCTGGGCCATCCCTGAAAAACCCAGTAAATCCCTGAAGAAGCAATCCAAGGTGTTCCAGGCAATCATGATATGCCCCAAATGCAGATTTAAGTGGACACGAAAAAGCACATATAACATTCATACCTTAAATGTTCAATTTACAAATTACAAATTAGGATTAAGGTACAAAGCACACCTTAAATATCATGCTAATGCTAGACAAAGACAGCAATCTTTTACGATTCAGTTTTTATCCGATCAATTATAAATCTGTTGTGTGTTCCTAATGTAAAAATATCTTCATTTATATTGTGGAAGCTTTTATACAATCTTTTGACTGAAGGAACCCAGGAAAATGTAAGCTTCAAAGAATCAAAGGAGAAAATGAAACAAGCATGTTATGCTGATAAAAGAGTAGCAATCAACTCTAGGGGTGTTTCTCGTAACACCCCTAACAGAATTAATTGTTCTGTTACTTTTCTCTTTGCTACACAACTAACTGCGGCTGGCCAAGATTGAAACCACAGTGTTAAATTAAACTGATCTTTGGTCTGATCCACTACAGCAGTTGTCATAAACTACTTCTGCTGGCAAGACTAATGGCTTGGGAGAGTTTTTAAGAAGACCATATCACTCTGTAAAATGATTATTTCAAAAGACTAATGAGAAAAGATCTTTCAGACATTAGCAATGAAATCCCCAAGAAGTCTTCACAAAACTTGAAACATTAGAAACTAACCTTGAAAGAGTGACGGCTGGATGTTGCTGACATACTGGAATGCATTCTTAAAGAAGACCAGCATTGTGGAATACACTACTTGATTCTTATACTTAATGTGTGCATCGCTATCGAAGTTACTGATGTATCTGCAGAGGTCTTTCATTCGATGTAAAATATCACCAAAACTTCTGAAGAAGAGAGACAAGAATTCAGAATTTTACACAGACTCTGAAGCTAAAGGAAAGAATGTACAGTGAACATTAAAAAGTTAATGTTTTGGCTGAGGATATCCCCCAGCTGTACGTCACTGGAGGCTGTGAGCGCACACCAGTGAAACTTCACTAAACATTTAGTATCATTCTCTTTGCTGAGGCAGCTGGGGAAGGATACCCCACAGTACTATAGTTCTTACACATAACTTTCATTAACCAAGATTTAGTTTAGGAACTAACTTGAAATTGCTCCCAGAATCCATGTTTTTGCTTTACATTGTACAGTGTTAAAAGAAAACCTACACTGATTTTACACAAAATGTCCCCTGTTAAAATCTTTCTTCAACCCACCTTCTTAAGAATTAAAAAGCCAAATTCTCTTTCAGAAGAAATACCTGGAAAAATACAAATTTCTCACCTTCTTCCTTTATCCATTTGCCATTCACACCTCATTCCCACCACAGACAATATTTTAAATAGCCTCTCCCAAGGATCTGTAACCTGTGAAGATTTCTCTGTGAGACCATCTATTACATATTTCTGAGAGCTACGCTTGCTTGGAGACATAATATCAGAGGAGTCTTGTGAACCTAGGAAAACCAGCACAATTTTGTCTTCATAAAGAAATCAAACCAACTTATTTATTTTCAAGGAGGAGACATGTACATTGGAGCTTTCAGGGTAACCGCTCTTTAGTGAGAAGGCTACCAGGGACCAACAGGCAATTCTGCATCCTCATACAAGAGAACTGACAGCCTGGATAAGGACATTCTTATCTGGCATAAAAGAACTAAGAAACATCAACTACTTCTATTAATCCTTGTTTATGGGATACATTACATGAAATTACTCTTTTTTTTTCTTTTCATTTATGGATGTCACTTCAGTAATACTAAAATACTGTCTATGAAAGATTAATTTTGTAACAATATTCTTACCTTGATATTGGCTTTCTGTCTGCGTAGATCTAGTTACATAGTTAATATAAAATTCTGCTGCTTTATTCAGGTACTTATATAACAAGCTGGCAGGAAGACGAACATCAGGGTTGTTAATTATCAGAGGAAGAACATCACAAACTGAAAAAGAAAAACAAAAAAATCCTTTAGATTTGTGGGGTTTGTTCTATTTGTCCTAAGCAAGGTTTCTGAGTCATTGATGTAAACCTTCATCTCTGGCTGACCATACACCATAAAAGATTACAAAGAACCTCACCGGAATGGCCGTTAAGACCAATTTGTACCATATAGCCCACCTGGCCTAATGTGGCCTGCGCTTCTTCTGACTAAAGTGATTTTCTGATTTTAATAGCCTGAAAGTAGCTTACTGAACACATAATGCTGCCATACTAAAAAGCTGTAGAATGAAACAAGAACATTAATATTTTCTTACCAAATAATTTTCTAAAACAATTCACTGGGGATTCTTGGTCTTCAATACTTTCAGCATCTAATAATGTTTCTCCAAGGCCTACCTGTATAAGCAGAGGTGAAAGTCACTGGACCAGTGGTTGTAGAAACTTTTTAACTGCAATTCAAATTCAGTGGATGCATGAGTAGCAACTCACTATACATGCCAACTGCATCGGCTAGTCTCTAAATTCACAGTTAAACTATCCCTACTTAGTAACAGGTGAAATAAGAGCAATGCCAGAGGATAGGAAAAGACAACCAAAACAAAAATTACACATGCAAATGTATCAGTAAACATGCAGAGACAACTGAAATCTACAAGGCCTTAAAGTTGCACCTTATCATCTGAGCTGTAGTAACTAACTGCGCACTCTGCCTGATGCTAGTACAAGTTAGTGTAAGTCAGTCTCAGAACTAAAAGATTTTATACTCTTCAAACTATTTTTATAAATAAAGTAGGTCACCATTTACACAGCTCCAGCCATAGCTTCGCAAGTCAGAGCAAACAATGCTGTTTCTTATAGTCTAGTCATGAACTCAAAGCACTTTGCCTTCAATAAGAGTTTACTGACAAAAAGATAAAGCAGTATTCTTAGACTGTGATACTCCTCCACACTCTTTTTGCGCTATTCTGCTTTTTTAAAAAGTGTGGAATAGTCTCTGAATTTACAAAACAAAACATTGTTTTATTTGCTTCCATTTTTTTTCTGCCCAATTTTTCCCTAATGGTAACTTCAAGATACAGCAATCTGAGCTATTAGCCACAATTAAACATGAGTAAAAAGACTCACTGTCTCCCTAGGCAAAGAAAATACATTTCAGAAAACTGTCAAGAAACACATTCACAATATCCTAAATAGTCACTATGAGCATCTCTTCTCTTACCCCGTGTTGCACCACAGTCTCTGGGAAACGTCGCAGAAGTAGTAGTAGCATTTCTGCCCTTTCTAATGTGTTAAAACACTGTTCTGTAGCCTTCAGTAGCATTTCACATTGGATCCGACCAGGAAGGGTTTCAAATAATCCTTTGAAAGAAAATAAAATTAAAATCTCTAACTTGCTATGTCTGAATTGTACATGTTATTGACAAAGTGTAAAAGCCTTGTCACCATCACCTTCCCATGCAGAGCGAAAGAGACTCCCTTATGTTTTTTTCTGATTTTAGTATCTACATCTGGAAAAAAAACCCTCTGTTTCTTTCAGAAAATACCATATGAATATTTATCTGTGTTTATTTGTGTGCACAAAAAGATTGCTAATGAGTGTAATATGACACTTCAGATGTTTTTCCAAGAATGCTCATTTACGCTTTACTTACATTTCACTTCTACAATTAATACTTTCATTATTAAAATGTATCTTTTTTCAATTTAAACATCCAATTTCGTGAGACACTATAAAGAAACCAAATAAACCAACATATTCTCCCTGTAAGTTTTACGTATTCTCTCTAAAAAAAAAAACCACGCCCCATGAAAAAGCAAGCATTTCCTTAGCAGGAATAGCTTGTATGCAAACTTACACACTGCTTATGCTTAGAGCTTCTGAAGCACATATTCAAACAACAGATTATAATTTCTGTAAGGTGTAAATCCTGCTTTCAAAACTGCCTGTGGTTACCAGCAGTAAACGCCAAGCCTGTCACTGTTCATTTTCATAACCCCCATTTCATACATACGAATTTACCCCATTTTCATGATCATTTACTGCTTTCTACAATCGATGGGATTATGATTCCTAAACCCTGTTTCGCTTATTCCCTATACAATCTCTTTTCTAAGTGCTTGTTATTCTGGCAGACTTGAGTCTACTTGTATCAGAGACAAAGCAATGAGAATCAACTTCTTATGTCCCTTTGTTTCCTAAGCCTAATACACTGAATGAAGCCTCTAATGCTGAACTGATCAAAAAAACCTGCAGCCCACAAGCAAAGTTACAAAGACCGCCATTTACTTGCTACACGAGGTATGTAACCAGAGGTCTTATCTTTAGATTTTTTCAGGAGTCTCTATTTATTCACTAAACAACATCCTTACCTCTTAAAAATTGTGTCTGCTTGTCCTGTGAGTCGCTCCTTAACGCTGCTGTAATAACGCTAATCTCCCTCCACACAGCAGGTTGATCCGGAAAATTCACAAACCTGTAATAAAGTTTGAGGCAAAGAATACACAGTGATCAGAAAATCTGTTTCCAAGACAAAACCTTCCTATAAATGAATGTGAATGGGCAAATGGAAAATAAACCCCTCCTTTTTACTGTTTATCTTTAATTAAGAAGACCTTTTCTACTTAATTTACCCACACGGACTTCCAAGAACACACACATTGTATTTCTGGAAACTCTGACATATATGGAAAGAAGCACCTAGCATAATTGTAGAGTTTCAGGTCTGACTACTCACATGTCATAGAGCAGTCTGCCCGCAGACGCTGTCCTTTCAGCATTCCTCTCAATAGTGTACATCTCATACTGCAAGATGGAAGAACAGGAAATCAGCTTTCTTGAACACATTTCTGAATCAGATTGTCCTTCCACTCTAAAAAAAGTCCCAAATTTGCCACAGCAGCCTGAATAACAGAAAACTGAAGGACTGCAACATTTCTGTAGAAATTAAGAGCTGCGTTTAGACTACCTAATCACACATTAAATTAGTAATAAAATTCTGTATGATAAGTACTTTACTTTTAACATGCTGGCTTTAATTTTACATAAATAAGAAACTTAGTGAGAATTCAAGGAGTTTTTTAACCAGGGTTTGTTTCCAGGCAAATGCAATGCAAAAATGCAACCTATTACATAAGCCATAGTAAGAGAGGTACTTTAGATCTCTATTAGAAATTTTTTTTGTTTGTTTTTTTTGTTGGGTTTTTCTTTTCAAAAGCTAAATGTTTCAGCATGTGCAAACACAAGAAGCAGAAAGGGCCTTTCCCTTCAGTTATTTAAACCCTAGCACTTGGGGATGTACTCAGCCTGGGAGCAGCTCTGTGGAAAGGGACCTGGGGGTCTTGGTGGACAGCAAGCTCAATGTGAGTTAACAGTGTGCAGCTGCAGCAAAAAAAGCCAACAGGATGCTGGGTTACATCAACAAGGGCATCATCAGCACAGATAAAGATGTCGCTGTCCCACTCCACTGTGTGCTTGTCAGGCCACACCTGGAATGCTGTGTTCAGTTTTGGTCCCTGCTATTCCAAAAAGATGTGGACAGCCTGGAGAGGGTCCAGAGAAGGGCCACAGATATGGTCAAAGGACTGGGAAGCCTGTCATTGAGAAAAGGCTGAGAGAGCTGGGCTTGTTCAGACTGGAGGAAAGAAGACTCATGGGAGACCTTACTACCCTGTTCCAGTATTTAAAAGGTGGCTACAAAGAAAATGAAGATTCCCTTTGTACCAAGAATCGCATGGAAAAGATGAGGGGTAATTGGCACAAGTCACTCCTGGGGAGATTCCAAACAGGCACAAGAGGAAAAAATGTCATTAGAACAACCAGCTACTACAATAATTTCCCCGGGGGAGCAGTAGATTCCTCAACACAGGCCGTTCTTAAGATTTAGCTGGACAGGGTGCTGGGACACCTAGTTACCTCATACTGCCAAACAAGTTGGACCAGGTGACTGCTGAGATCCCTTCCAACCTAGTATTTATGAACACTTTCACTTCTTTCACAAAGCATTCACAGGAATTGATTTTATTGAGGTGAAACACAACGAGCAGTTACAGGCTCGCCACATTAACCTTCTTAGTTATTCTTTATTCACTTCTGGACATCCCAGTGAGAACCTGGGCACCCGTGGCACCACAGTGCACGGCCCTGCGTTTCCCTGCAACCGCCCTGCAATGCAAAGCGACGAACAAAGCCTGCAAAAGACCGCTGCGCTGCAAAACAGGGGTGCTGGGTCGGGCCCCTGTGGGTACGCCAGGCCAGGCTTCTATCTCGGCGCTCGGCCTCACCGCTCCGCCTGACCCCGATCCCGACCCCGGCCACCCCGCCCCTCCGCCCCCATTGGACAAGGGGCTAGGCAGGCAGGCCGGCAGCGCCCGACGCAAGGCCGCTGCAGCCGCGCCGCGCCTTCCTGTCGCGCCGGTGCAGTAGCGGCGGCGCTCACCTGGATGTTGAAGTCTGCGGGGTAGAGGCTCCGCGCAGTGATGAGCCAGGCCTTGGCAGCCCACAGGTCCCCCGGCACCAGCTCGCGGGCCCGCTTCACCAGGAACTCGCAGTCCCCCTGCGCCGACATCTTGTACCCTGACCGGCCGCCGGGCGGCGCGCATGCGCCCCACTAACCCGGGGCGGGGTGTCCAGCTCCTCCGCTCCTCCCCCCCGCCATCGGCGCGCAGCTGAGGGGGCGTGATGACGCTGACGTTTTAGAGGCGGGGGGGGGGGGGTATTGGGGCCGTTGTTGAACTCTGGTTCTTTATACGTTTTGCGTCTTTCTCGGTCGTGGAACGAAGGTGTCCCTGCTCGTGCAGGGGGGTTGGAACTAGATCATAGAATGGCTTGGGTGGGAAGATCTACACCATGTTGCCCAAGGGTCTGTTCAGCCTTGCTTTGAGCGCTGCCAGGGTTGGAGCATTCACAACTTCCCTGGGCATCCCATTCCAGTGCCTCACCACCCTAACAGGAAAGAATTTCCTCCTTATATCCAGTCTAAACTTCCCCTGTTTAAGTTTTAACCTGTTGCCCCTTGTCCTATCACTACAGATAATGAAGAGTCTCTCCCCAGCATCCCTATAGGCCCCCTTCACATACCCCCTTCAGGCTGCAATGAGGTCTCCACGCAGCCTTCTCTTCTCCAGGCTGAACAGCCCCAACTTTCTCATCCTGTCTTCATATGGGAGGTGCTTCAGTCCCCTGATCAACCTCATGGTCCTCCTCTGGACTTTTTCCAACAGTTCCATATTCTTTTTATGTTGAGGACACCAGAACTGCACACAGTACTCCAAGTGAGGTCTCACAAGAGCAGAGTAGAGGGGCAGGATCACCTCCTTCAACCTGCTGGTCACATTCCTTCTGATGCAGCCCAGGATACAGTTGGCTTTCTGGGCTGCAAGCACACACTGAAGCCAGCTCATGTTCATTTTCTCATCGACCAGCACCCCCAAGTCCTTCTTCGCAGGGCTGCTCTGAATCTCTTCTCTGCCCAACCTGTAGCTGTGCCTGGGATTGCTCCAACCCAGGTGTAGGACCTTGCACTTGGCATGGTTAAACTTCATGAGGTTGGCATCAGCCCACCTCACAAGCGTGTCAAGGTCCCTCTGGATGGCATTCCTTCCCTCCAGCGTATCAACCGAACCACACAGCTTGGTGTCATCGGCAAACTTGCTGAGGGCACACTCAATCCCACTGTCCATGTCAGCAACGAAGATATTGAACAAGACCGGTCCGAACACGGATCCCTGAGGGACACCACTCGTTACTGGTCTCCAACAGGGCACTGAGCCACTGACCACAACTCTGCATGCAGCAAAAGATCTTTGAGGTCCCTTCCAATCCACACCACTGTATGATTCTACGTGTCTGTGGTGGCCACTGTCTGGAGCCAGTGAGAGTCAAGGAGCCCAGAGTGGCAAGGGAGTGTAAAGACTTTTGAGTGTGGTGGTAGGCTGAGGAGGGCTTGTGAAGCAGTAAGTTTGGAGTTAGGAGGACTTGTATGGGCATAGAGGACTATGGCAATTTTGTGTAGCCAAAGCTCCCAAAGCTTGTGACTGACCATAGAGAACTGTAGGAGCAAGGTGAAAGGGGCCTGCTCTTCAGCCTTTGGCAGCTGTTAAAGGTAGTTGGTAGGAGACTTGCGAAGCTATCCTCAAGAAATTTTTCTTCTGGCCCTATAGGCAGTGTCATGAATATAATGGTGCTTGGTGCTACTGCCTGGCCTTGTGCTTCTCAAAGGTTCTTAATGCCCAGTATCAAGGTCTCCAACTGCAGATGCCAAGGGAAAACAGAACCTTTCACCACAGAAATGCACCTAGCCTTCAACAGCTCGCAACAGAGATTTGCTTAAACCACCGCTCTGCCAGTGGCACTGTGTACACATATCCCATCCCAGGAGCTGAGCCTGTAACCTGGTGGGGCTGGGCTAGTTATGGCAGGGTCTGAAGTTTCCTCTCCACCTAGAGTGGCTTTCCTGAGTTCTTGCACTGACTGTGCTGTTTTGATTTCCACAGTGCAGGGCATGCCGAAGGTCTCAGTGTTAGCCAGCCAACTGAAAGTGCACACAGCCTCCTTCCTGCAGGAGTTCAGGACCCAGCTGAAATGCCTACGTGAGCCTTGTTTATCAGGAAGAGGCTTTGTAACCTTCTGTAGCAGGAAATAGGCAGCATTGACCTCAAGGCAGTTTAGTCATCTAATGCTGTGAAGGTTGATTTTTATTCTGGGAAGATATACGCATTTCTTGAGGAAGGTCTCTCAGTAACAGCAGATTGAGGCTGTATAGTTGACACAGCATAAGGATAGATGTGCGATGTGCACAAAGGCAGTATTGCAGACCTTGGTTGTGGCACCACAAATAGTTTCTGTGCTGCAACTGAGAGGCTCCATTAGGGCAACTGTGACTCTAGAGATCAGAGAGTATTTGGAAGGCATTAGGTTGGCACTGCATAGTGGCAGAGGGCTTTGAATGTCAGTCTCCACCTTCTAAATTTCTGCACTGATAAAGTCGTAGCAGGTAGCATCCATTCTGTGTTGGGTTTCCTGACTTGGTCCCATAGGTTGTTACTGATTACACAGGACTCTGGTGTATTAACAAGTACTTGGGGCTAGTAAGTCGGGTTCCTAGTATGGGTTAAAGCAGTCTATGGTGTGGAGGTGCAAGGCTTAGGATAACTGCTGTGCTGCATGATATGATAACAAGGAAGTTACTCTCTTTTCTAAAGCTTTGCATAGATACTGAAAAATCTGAAAAGGATCAGCCTCCTTTCATATCTTATGAGTGAAGCCTTGCAGAAGAGTCTGTGTTGAGCTAGCTGTGTGGTCTACACAAAAACTAGTGATCATGTGGAAGGTTTTGTTGTTTTGTGGAATTTTTTTACCAATTCTGTGTCCTTGGCCTTTGTGCAGAGCAATTTGTACAGCTGAGGGGAATTATCTGGGCTGCCAGTTGCTGAGAATTTGAGGCTGAGACCAAGTGTCTTGTTTTTCCTTTGGAGTTGAAGGACAGTAGATTGAGATTGGATGTCTGTGTTATAGATCAGAAGGAAAACCAAAAGGACATTTGGAACCTAAGAATAGAACAGCATGGGATGGGTGGGATCCAGCACATCCTTCTCCATATGGTGGTATCTGTTAATAACCTTATGGGGCAATGTGAGTACAAGTGTGCACGTTTCAACAGATCTGATAGCTTCTCATGAAATGACAGAGTGGAGATCTTTGACTCTGGGGTTGTCTATAGTCTTCACAGTTGAATCCAAATTCTGGCTTCAAAACAATAGAGTTGGCCACAATCCACTTCATTTCTGTAGTAGCCTAAGGCAGTTTTTAATAATTGACCTCATTTCACAGAATCCCATAATTATTTAGGTTGAAAGGGACATCAGGAGATCATCTGGTCCAGCCACCTGTTCAAAGTGCAAATAACTGTTCTTTTACAGTCCTAAGATAAAGTAAAAACTCATTTCAAGCAAAGAATGAATGTGGTCAGGTTCCCTTCAGCCTGCAGTTTGACAGTGATGAGTGGTGGGGAGGTTGTGTTTGTAGGGGAAAACATTTAGGTAGTCTTACAAGCAGGTTTTATTATTATGAGATGTGTTAAAATGTTTCCCTAGCTTTTAGATCTGGGAAGCTGAACCAGACTGTCATTATCTGCAACACAGCAGGGACAGAATTATTAATCACCAGACTCTCATGTGGCCAAAGCTATGCTTATATGACTCCAGTGACACTACGGCTGAATCTCTGTATGTGGTGAGTTGTCCAGTGTGTTGAGAGCATAATACAGCAGCACAGTGCTTGGTGCTCAAATAGGACCTTGCATTCAGTTTACAGGGCTAAACACTTAGAAAACACCGTATTTCACTGTAAATTGAATGTGCTTTATCCATAAACTAATTCTGCCATTTATGAAAACACTTTTTAGGAGAGAAATTAATTTTCACATGGAGGGATTTGAAGAGAAGTCATTAAAGATTTTTTTCTGTGTAGAAGTTTTCTTAGTATAGAAAGAACTGAATATGAAAATGAATAGGCAGAATGCATCTGCTGGACATACTTCTTTCCTCCTCCTGCCTTCCCACGTATTCAGGCTCATAGTGTCCATGTGGCAACTCTGAAAGGTGTAGACATAGAAAAGAAATTCTAAATTAACCAGCTGCATATGTTTGTCCCTGCTTTTAATCGTGCAGTCACGTTGAAAAGTGCATTCCACAGTTTATATTTCTCCTTTTTTTTTCCTTTTACCAATCCCATTCTGCTTGCAGGTTCTTCCTGAACACATCTTGCAAGTGTGCAGTGCCTTGAGTGGCACCCACCTCACAGAATGTTGGTGTCTGCAACTTTCTTTTGAGAAAGCCATTGTAGGTTTCATTTATAGGCAGGGAAGCCCAGAAAGCAGTTCAGCTGACCAGATACAGATTGAAGGAGGGTGGACTGTGCCCTAGTTGCCTTTGTTTAGGTCTCCATGGTTTGTAAAAGGGATGCAGTATGGTGTCCTTGGCTTCAGAGATCTGTGTAGTAATGCCACGTATATAGTGATGAATGTGGCTTTATTCAAGTTTAACCATATTGCCCGGTTTCCTTGCTCTTGTCACTGTAAATACGCTGCTTCAGCCTCTGAAGGTGTTTTCACTCACATAGTGGTCATTCCTGGGAGTGACAGTTAGCTCATCCCTTGTAGCTATGGTCTCTGGTGGCTATGCGGGCTCTCTGCACTAAACACAAAGCTAGTCAGCAGCATGTGACTACTGATTTCCTTTAATGAGTGAGCACTGCTTGGACTACAACATCCCAGTGGAATTGCATGAGAGGTTTCCTCTGTAAGTACTGTGCCTTTCGAAACTGCTTTCCAATAGCACACCACTGAAGGACACTTAGAAGCAGCAAAAGGAGTTTTAGCAGGCAGGCAGGCAGGCATCAATAGCATCCTGCTCCAAATCTGAGGTGATAATCACTAGTTTGAATACGCCTGCATTTTCCCCAAGAGCCTGCAGTTCTGATACGGGAGTGCAGGTATGTCTATGTGCGTGATTACCGTCCTTTTGCACAGCAAAGCCAGTTGAACAGCATGTTTATAGAAACCGTCCTTAAGAGTGATTGCCTCTTGAAGGAGCATAGCTCATATAAGAGGAATGGGACTGTCTCCAGCCAGCCCTGGGAGACGATGCTGAGAGCATATTGAAAAGCTGTCTTCAGCAAAAGCTTGCCAGTTTAACAACTCTGTTCACTGTTCCTATTGCACAGTGGGCTCTTTGACGCAACAGAAAGAGCTGCCTCTCTCTCTCTCTCTCTCTCTCTTTTTTTTTTTTTTTGCTTCCTCTTAAATCCGCCTGGCCAATTTAAAGCTTGTGGATATTTCTTCCCCCTCGGGGAAAGCTTATGTGAGGATTTTCTTTTTTAACAGTTCATTCCATGAAACCGTTTTTTTCTTGTTTGCTGTTAGAAAATGTTGGAGCTGAACACGAGGCTTTCATTGCAGGTCAGTAGATGAACTCTCGACCAAGGCATTTAACGTTTGAGTGTAGCTTTAGCAAGAACTGCAGTTTGGGAGGAAAAAGGTTGTATCGTGTGAGCCCATGTGTGCCTACTACTGGAATCGGAATCTTTTCAGGTCTTCAGTGACTGAGTTCTGCGCAGATGAATTTACTGTCTTTCTTTTGTAACCACATGTACTAAATTAATATTTTATTATTGAGAATTGAGGTGACATCACAGTTATGTCTGTATTATTTAATTCCTGAATGTCTTTACTCCCTCAAAATGCAATAAAACTTACTGTGAATTTGAAGTATAAACTTTTTGCCCTTTTATTTTGCCAGGATTGTCTTTTTGAATTATTTTTTTTCCACTTCTTTACAGTGCACTTTACTGGGAAGCATGTTACTCCTAAGCACATGCTGCCTGCAGGGAAGATAGTTATTTGCTATTTTGTATTTCATCTTAGATGCTGTCAAGGGAACTAGGAAAGGATGTAAACATATTGTTAATGTCTGTCTTCAAGCTGTGTTTGAGGTAAGGCAATCTTTCTGTATCTCTGAAATTAAATTATGAAGTAGATGCAGTATTTCATTTATAGCTACTAAGATTATCCTGTTGCTATTTGTTTTTCTTGTTGGTAAAATGTAAATGTATTTATCACAAAGCTGTTCCTTGTGTATGTGAAGCTTAAAATCCTGTATTTTTATTTCAACAATATCTACTACATATCTGCATATTTCTATTAGCTTGTGTAACCTACATTAATGAGAGATCATTGTTGAAATTGCTTCGGTTTTCTCTTCTATTATTATCACATTAAGTTTGTGAGTGAGTGTATTTCTTGCCCTGGGTAGGCAATTCTTAGGCAAACTTTGTAAAACTGAGCTACAGATTGTTTCCACTGTGAATCATTTTCCTTTTAAGATGATGACTTTTATGGTAATGTTTAAATTAACTAGAATTGTTTTCAAACATATACAGTGCATTTTTGGTGTATTCTTTTTTTTTCTAACAGCACTCCAAAATAAAATAGAAAAATAATGATTCATATCGGACTGTTTATTTCCTTCTCTATTTAGTGTTGCCTGTTATAGGAAGTGCATATCTTTGAAAGGTTGAATCATTATTTATGAGGATCATTACAGCTGAAAGGTGTCACTGCAATATTGGTCATATGCAACTGCATTGCAAATGAAATTTGTATGGGATACCACTGTTGGTGAGTTATGATTAGTGCCTGGGGAATTAGAAAATACTTCTTCTTGTTTATGTATCTTTTCAAGCAATGTAAGAACTTGCCATTCAGGGGAGGTTTTTTTATCTTTTTGACTTTTCTGTAGCAAGGTTACAGTTTCTATAATTCAAGATTTTGATGCATGCTTTCTGCAATTTTACTGTTGTTCAAATCAATCCATCTAAATCTTTGTGACACCCCTTACAAGGGGTAGCCGTTTTTAAGGCAGACATGATGTGCTGCAAGTCGACAAAAAATTTTAATTTAGAAAAATGAGGAGGCTTATTTGCCTCCTCACATCTCTGAAGCTGTTTGCTCTTTGAATTCCAAATACTGCTGGCTCCAGTCAAGAGATGTGTCTTTTAACCATTATTTGAGAGGCTTTTTTGCTTGTTATGGAGTAAAGAATGGTACAGGATAGTTACAAAGCTACAGAGAACTCTTTTTAATCTCACAGAGCAAAAATATTTACTACTATAAGCATTTATAATACTCAAATAAATAAATCCATTCAAAGGTGGTTTTAAAACCCATTGAGGTTTAACTTTTTTCAGTCAACATCACACCCAAATCTTCTTAGCATTTTCTGTCATCTTATTTTTGGGAGTTGTAAATCCATATCCTGTCATGGTGCAAATACACAACTTATGTCTGCAACCTGTTTTCTACTGTAAAAAAAATGACAAGTCTTATTCCCTATTGTTGAAATTATCTCAAGTTAAATGTCTTATAAAAAATAAAATTAAGCAGTGTAATGAACTAATGCAATTTTTATATAACACATTTTCTGAACCAATTTCTCAACAAATTAGATGCCATCTCTGATCTACTGTCACTGGCACAGGGTGTGTTGGGCTGTGTTCCTTCCCTTTTGACCTCTAGTTCATGAGGTAGTCAGACTCGTTATTCAAGGGGAATCTCATGAGTAGCACACCATGATGTGGATGTGTTGACATTTCTACTGACATTATTTTGCCAGAAAGCATGAATGGGGAAGGAGGATAAATTATGTAAATGATGTAGGTGCCTTGATGTGTTTTTTTGAATCTTTGGAGTTGAAACGTGCTGCCATGTGTTCCTGGATTCCAGCCTTCTTGCTTATCAATGGTTACTGAAAGGTACTTGTTTCCCTGATGTTTTATAGTGCCAGCTTTCTATCTAGTCAACATAGTAGAACCTGTAGCTTGCTGCATTCCTTCTTGCATGCCCTGAACAGTATCAGGTTAACTGGGTGCTTGTTTATTACGCTAGTGACCTGGTCAATGGATTGCCATGCTGTTAGTAAGGAAAAGCTAGCTGTTGTCTGGTCTAAATCACAGCTCAAGCCAGGTTAAATGCAGTAAGAACTTTCATTTGTAACAGTTAAAATAGACAAGAGAAACACTTTTGCAAGGTAGAGACAAAAAATAAAAGGCAAAATTTCTTAGTCTGTTTATACCTAGTTTATACCTAGTTTATATTGGAACAGTTTTACCTAGTCCTACTGATTTGATCCTCTTTTGACAAGATTTTCTTATTTCCACATAGCTTACTTTTCAGGCAACATCCATTGGAAAAAACCTTGTTCACAAGTCTCCCATCATTTACTCTCTGATGAAACAAGGCTCCATCAAAGCATGTCTTTGGGAGCATGCCTCAGGCAATTTTCTGATTCTTGAGGAACCTCTCATTTCTTATTTAGTCTTTTCTACAAAAGTTTCCAGACAGTGCAGTCTTCTATCCCCAGACCCATTTCATTTGTGATTATCTAGGCAACGTGTCATCATTGTTCTTAGTTATTGTTGGGGACTGAAAATTATCTTTATTAGTATGTGTTACCTTCTTACACTGTAAACCTCTTCACTTCCCTTTGGGACTTTTCTCCAAACGAAATATCTTCATGCTGAGTTGTATTCTCTACCAATGAGTGTATTAACATATTCAATATTGTGCAGAGCTCTGACTGGCTTTTTCCTGACACTGAGACAGAAGACTGGTTGTCTGAAGATAGCAGAGGTCTATGCCTTACTGGTTAAAGATGAGCCCACTGACGTAGGTGACAGGATAAAAGACTTGGGGGTCATAAACTGAAGAGCTTAAAAAGCAAGTGCTACTGAGAAATGTGTCTGTAGCACACTTGGCAAATTGCTTTTCTCTTAACTCTTCAGGGTGCAAACATTTCACCCAAATTATCTCGTTGTGTGTGCGTTTTAGGCTGAGTGTGTGATAGGCCTATCAGCACTGTTATAATATTACTAAGGAGTTACGTCTGAAGAGAGGCCTTTGGCAGAATGCCATGCTGCTGGAGGGCCTGAGTGAACCTCAGCAGTTTTGCTTTTCATGCAATTGAGTGGGACCTTTTCATTGCAACTTGATTGCATTTAGGCTTGAGAATAAAGACTTGGATAAAAATACCACACACTGACTGTCTCCCACAACCTCCAGGGATCTTGACCAGCTCAATAGCAGTTGTCACCATCTGCTTCAGGAAATGCCATGAGCGTGTTCATCAAGCTGAAGGAACTTTATTCCTTGTGTTCTACCTCAGCTACAGCAAAACATTGGAAGTTAGGGCCTTAATATCAGGTTTCCACTTGTTTCGCCTGTTAACTACTCATTTAAGCCACTACTTAAGTAGTAACAGCTCAGGGGTACAGAAAGGGGTGTTGTTTCACACCTTCATTAGGAAACACAGACACAGCAGCTTGATCTTCCAAGCTGTAATGTGCCTGGAATTCTTGATTGTGATGTTCTTTGTTTGGATGGATGCCTATTACTAAGTTTCTTGTGACTGGAAGGCATCAGAGAAATCAATGATGAGGCTATAGAGACTTTGCAGATTTCTTTTCACTTTTTTCCTCAGAAATTTTGAGTCCGTGCTTTGAAGGGTCATCAGTGCAACCACTTCTAACTACATTTAACTACATGGGCTGAGACTGACAGATGATCGTGCATTATTTATATCTCTTCTGTAGACCGTCAGAGGCAACCCAGACCACATAGCTTCTTGCTTTACTAGAAGCTATGGAAGAAATGTAATATTCAGTTCTGGAAAGTAAGTACTTTTCCTTACACTGAAAGCAATAGTTGGTTTGTAGTTTGTTCTTTTTTTTGTTCGTTTCTTTTGGGGGGTGTTGGTTGGGGTTTTTTTGCTTGTTTGTTTTTCAAATGTGCAAGCTTAGCTCCTCAATTTTAGGACAGTTACAGTTCTGGACTCATCATCAACAGGTACATGGTTTTTAGGCTAACTTGTGATACAGTAACTGTTGCATGCCAAACAGCATTAAAGCCAATGGGAGTGTTCTTATGAATACATTAGCATTAAACATTGGTGGGATCTTTATAGAATCGTAGACTGGTTTGGGTTGGAAGGGACCTTAAAGATCATCCAGTTCCATGCCCCCCTGCCATGGGCAGGGGCTTCTTCTCCTAGACCAGGTTTCTCAAAGCCCTGTCCAGCCTAGCCTTGGACACTGCCATGGGTGGGGCAGCCGCAACTTCTGTGGGTAACCTTTTTCAGTGCTTCACCACCCTCACAGTAAAGAATTTTTTCCTTATAGCTAATTTAAATCTATCCTCTTTCAGTTTAAAGCCCTTCCTTCTTGTCCTCTCACTACATGCCCTTGTCAAAAGTCCCTCTACAGATTTTTGTAGGACCCTTTTAGGTACTGGAATGCCACTATAAGGTTTCCCCAGATCTGTGTTTTCTCTTCTGCAGGCAGAACAAGCCCAGCTTTCTCAGCCTGTCTTTATAGGAGATGAACTCTAGGCCTCTGATCGTCTTCATAGTGCTCTTCTGGACTTGCCACATGTCCTTCTTACGCTGGGGCCTATTACTCTGCAGTTGCAACGCTCAGTGGTGCTGCTTAACACAGCACTCAGTTTGCCCTATGAAGCTGCAGATTTGTTGTCCCAGTGAAGCCAAGTAGGCATTCTGCCAGTTCAATTGGTGTCTTGCTCCCAGCTCAAGAGAAGGGGCTTGCAGAAGTGAAATGAGCATAGTAGGGATAACTGAGTTGCATGAAGTAATGCAGGCATCCAAGTAAATTAATTTTTGCTAGTGGTGTTTGTGAGCTAGATTGGTCAAAATCCAGCAAAGATTGGGGGTAGGGATGGGGGAGGGAACAGTAGGGAAAACTTCACTTATTTAGGCCACTACTGCTGTCTAGTTGTGATCCATGAGGTAAATTAGCTATTAAGCTAATTGGAAAGGAGAAAAATAGCCATTTCTCACTAAACATGTGGAAGTTGAGGGGACGTCAGTAGAGTGGAAAAAAATCTTTGAACATGTGTAACTGAAGGAACTACAAAAGACTCGAGGCAACATCTCATTCAGATTTTATTTAAAATGTTTCAAAGTAGAAAAACATGAATCATCTTTAGTAGCAAATGGAAGAGGTGATAGCTTTCATTTCCAAGCCTGTGCCTGTGATGAAGTGGGCTACCCCTCCATTTACATTATTAGTTTCATGTTGCATTGTCTTGATAACAGAAAAATACAAACTAGTCATTGGCCATGGGCATCATCCTCCTGTTCGGAAAGAAAGAATAATAGAACACTGGTAAAAACTCTACTGAAGTGAAACCCTGGGGGAAAAATATTTTTTTTTTCCTTTTTCCTCTCCATTGTGTGATCAAAAGTGGTCCTGTAATTTGCTGGCAAGAAGACATGGAACAATATGCACTCCAGCAACTTTGGAACAGTGTGCAGATACCCCTGGGAATTGTTTCTGCCGGAGTCTTGAGGCAGCCATAGGTTTCTGGCTTGCTATTTCTGCAAATATTCTGCAAACCTTTTTTTTTTTTTTTAATATCTAAGGCTATAAATAGTTGACAGTTCTTAAAGTGAATAATCCTCTCTTCCTCTCCAGCATAAGAAACTGGATCAAGATTTTCAAAGCCAAAAGCTTGCAGCCAGATATCCTTATTAATCATCTGTTTGTAATATTGCCCAGAGTTTGAGGGAATTCTCTTACTGTTCCTGTTTTGTGTATGGTGAGGAGACT